CTCTCTGTTCCTCTCTCTCCCTCTTTGTGCTGACAATCAAGCCAAACACCAACATCATCAAATATACAGTTGAAACCAGATATTTGCATAATCTTCAGATAAAAACACAAACACTTTTTTAAAGGAAACATCAAATCAGACTAAATGTTTATTTTTTTAGATTGATGAATATAAAAAACATGTTTGTTAAATGTAAGAGGTACATGAGCTCTGTGTGATTTGATAAGTATTTGAGGCTGAGACCACGGGACTGTAAAAACATGATTGTTGGGCTTTGTTTAAGGAGCTTGGAAAGAAAAGCATATGAAAACGGGTGTGGGTCACAATCAGCCAGGGTTTTGGGTGGGCCCATTGTGAAACCTGGCCCCACCCTATCATGTGATTGAGCAAGAGTAGGTGCACATTTATCATATGCCTCCACCCCAGCCCCATGCTAATCATCAGTAGTGTTTTCCCTGCTGCAATTCCTAGCCCAATGTTCCCACTTTAAACAAATGTCATTTTATGCTGTTTTGTAGCCACCCCTTTCTCCGAGCTTGATACACGGAGCTCTTTTTCCTTTTCCTTTTTCTGATGGGGTTTGAGTTTAATGTCAACATCAAAAGCAGGATGCCTGACCTTTATAGTCTGGCCTCTTGGAAAAATAGCACCTCCTAACCTCTGCTGCTATCTCCTCTCAGAGAACCCAGGCTTGCAGTTTGGTCAGTACCACTGTATATGGTGAACACGTCAGTCAGATAATGCTCCTGAATGGTTTATCATCCTTTAATTTGCCTGCAGAGATTTTTGCAGTGTCCATGAGTGGAGGAAATTCCTTCTGCAACTCATTGCATAGGGATGCTACTGTGTGTAGGCCTGATTATTGTTGTTATCCCAATCATGATGCTGTCTGTTAACATCTCCTGTAGGACATATGCTTGAAAAGTTTGCCCAGCCTCCCTCTCCCAACTTTATCACCGGCAGGTGCCTCAGCTCTGCCATGGTGTCTGAAAAAATGTTTGTTTTTTTCTTTTTATTCTTAAGACGATTGTACAGCTTAAAGCATCATCTTCTTTTCAACCAGACTGTGCTCCTACATTTCAGCCTTTTGTCTCATTAGTTGGGTTTGGAACATTTTTTTTTACTCAAATGTCTTTCTTAATCCATGAAAGCAGTATGTTTCTCAGGATATCAATGAATCAATGAGATGTTACTGTCATGAAATGAACATGATGGGATGCATCCATGAGGCGTTGTGGGTGTAAAACCCGTTTGCTTTAAGTTTAAATCCTGTGTGTCCCTGTAGTTTACCTGGATTGTCAATTGTTGTTAGCTGTAGACAGCGAGCTCTCTCATTTCAGTTGCTGTGGGAGCAACTGAAATACAAATGAGTGGTGAATGTAGCTAACCAGAATTGCCAGGACAGACATAACAGCAACTGGAAAAGTCACATTTCAAAGCATAAAGTGACTACTGTCTGGAAGCAACTTCATTGCACACTGTGTGAAGTTAGAAGTACCCAATGATAGTGCTCACAGTGAACAGAGACTTTAGTTGTACAACTGCACTTTCTTGATTTTATTCCACATCAATTTCATAAACTCATAATGCAAATACAAGCTCTTTGCTCCTGTTTGCATCAACAACAATGTGTAGTTTGAGACATGCCCCCACAGTTGTCACTAAAGAAATTCAGCTGCACTTTTATTTTCTTTTTGACCAGCCCTAAACCGTTTTTTTTCTTTAAAGGAAGTTACAAAAACATAGTCGACATCTCTCTAAAGTGTGAAGAACTAAATAAGTGATGTGAAGTCCACACTTTACAAACACGTTTACCAGAGATGTTGGTCTAATGGACCAGTGTGACATGACTTTTGCTATGAACACTGATAAGGTGACTTGTACAGTATTTTCTTTCATTAGTTTACAGTCAGTCACAACTTTGTTGTATTGGACTAAATGTGCAATGTTTGTTCAGTTCCACTATGGTTCACCTAGCTCTGAGCAGGTGACCTATATGCCTAAAGGACTCCTGTAAGTGAGTGAGTTTGAGTTCCTGCGACTCATTCCTCCCCACCTCTGTCACCTGAAGTCTTTTTTTCTTGCTTATTTTGTTTATGTGCAACCACAAAAGCAAAGAGGGGAGGGGAAAAAAGACTTTTACAACTATTTAATATAAAATGGGTTGACAGTAGGTATAGTTTATTTACAGTATACGTCATGCTATAACATAAAAGGCAAATGTTAAGCCAACAACAAAATGAAATGTAGAATTGTAACTAAATTAAGGCTTAAATGCATATAAAATGACAAAATATTCATTCATAAATCAATTAAAAAATACATATTCAAATAAGGCTGATGCTTTGATTACACAACCAAAAAGGAAAAAGCTTATTGTCAAATAATGGTGGTGGAAGTCTTGCCACCACATTGGTTTATTTTAAGACCAGATTAAATACAAAACGGACAAAACAAATTGCACACAACACACACACTCACACACACAAACAAATATAAATTTGGCAAGATAAGTGATTATACATTGCCATTTTTTCAGTTTTAACTTAAACTGAGAGTAACACATGTTTGGGTTACAACATATAACATTTTTTAACTCCGCCCATAAGAAGCAAAAACCTCTCTGATTTTAAATTTGGCCCCTGTGAAGCACTGTACTGCTTCCATCTTGCATTTTCCATTTGCAGTGCCCATCAGAGTCACACATACATGTGCGGGTTCTGTGTCAAATGGACTTCTATGTTGAGCATCATCTCGGTCTTCAGCGGAACAGTCCACGGTATTCATGCCCCAAGGTGGCGCATCAGGTTGAGAGCATGACCAGGAGCATACTCATTTATTTTTAACCATAAGCCTTCAATTCATAACACAGAGCTTTACAGTCACTTTCTGAGAGACATCTAGAATCTTCAGCGTAAACAACCTGAACTGTGACGTTAGCCCATGGGGCATTGCAGACACGGGTGTTTCCCACCAGTGTTTGCCCTCCACCCCTGCATGTGCACTTGTTTCCCAAAACATTTAACTTGTGAGTAAATGAGTGAAATTCAGTCCACCGTTTACTCCCAGTTTCTGTGAGCAATCTAAAGTTAACAGAAGCACAGAAAGTGACTCAGAGGTGAAATAGAAGATAACCTTGAAAGCTAGACTGATTAAAGGTTATCACGTGAGGGCTGTTTTTGGTATTTTGCCTTTTATGGGTGGAGTAATGAAACATTGTTCCTTGCATTTGTAACACTACTGAATGCAGAACCTCTTGCATTCGTTGTATGACAGCTTCTATTTCATTTTTCAGTGGCTTGGAGGTTTATTTAGTATATTTTTATGAGACACTTTATAACAGTGCTCATCATTCAGAACTTTTAAACCTCGACCAGATTAAACTGAGTTCTCCAGGATTGCTTTGAGCATATTTGTTTAACAATACAAAAACTAAAATTTAAAAAAAAAAGAAAAGGATTAAAAACTAAATTTGATAATGAGTCACAGCGGCTCAGATTGAACTTGGCAGCAGTCCGAAAGTAATAAGAATAATAAGATGTGTGTATTACGGTCATGTGGTTGATGAAACGTTGCTGACGAAGCTGACATGAGAAGTGGCACGATATACATGAATAGCTACACAGTATATAAGCATTCACTTTTATGTTAACTTGGCCACTCAGCTAATGGAAGACTATTTCTGATGCAAATATATTTATTTTGTAAAGAGTAAAGAAAGTAAAGGACTGTATAAAAAAGACAAATAAATCTGTGAAACACACAAAAAAAAAGGTTAAAAAGGTTTTCCATGTAGCTGCCTGGAGCATTTTTTTTTTCTGTGAAGTCACATAGAAAAATGAAATTTTAGGCCTGTGATTTTCAGGCCGGAAAGTGCTGAGAAATCATCTTTGGATGCCCCCGATAATACTGTCTGGTCAGCAAGGAAGGACAGGAGGATATACTCAATAAAAGAGCACCTCGTCACAAAATACTGGCAATCTGGCACATTTTTTTGGATCCCAGTAGCGGGCTGTGTGGTTCATCAGAGGACCAAAGTGACGATGTCACAGAAAACAGGAGGGCAGGAGACGCGTGAAGGGCTCAGATGAGGGAGATCCGTATAGGGATGGCGGGAGAGTCTGTCCTGTGATGAGGGGAGTGATGAGACACCACGTGTTCCACCACTGCGTGTTTAGACATGTGTTTCATAAGGTAGGTCTCCTGAGAAGAAGCAGAGGAAAGCTATTTAGATGTGACCGTTGCCCCTTAATTGAGACTTAAAGATATGACTATGGTTTTGAACTCACAGAGGTGTACGACCTGCCGCACATGCTGCAGCAGTAGGCCTTGGCGTTTTTTATGGCATGTGCAGACAAGTGGATTTGAAGTGAGGCAGAGTCTGAGTAGGCACGGTAACAGTTGGAACATTTGAAGGGCTTGTCTTTGTTGTGCTGCCTCTGGTGAGACTTTAGAGAGAAAACGCACGCACACAAAGCCAAATGGTCATCAGGCAAGTTTAAAGGGGAAAAAAGTATGTCAGAGTTCATGTTTACCTACCTGCAGATTAGACAGCTGCGTAAAAGCTTTTTCACATCCAGGATGGGCACATTTATAAGGCCGATCCCCTGTGTGGATTCTGAAACGAGAAAAATGAACCAACAGGTGAGACGGGAAGCTGGCAGCTTGTAGATGTTTGCAATCTAATTAGTTTTGAATGAATTCAAATGATTGCTCAAGTTACAAGGACGTCTGCACAGCAATGAATAATAAGTGTCGTCAGTGAGGTTAATTCGGTCATGGAAAGTGGAAAAAAAAAAATGCCAGCAAAAAGCAAGAATGGTCAACCTTTAGAATAAAGTCTCTCCTTTGAAGCAAGAAAGAGACTTCTTTCCACTTTTAGGTCTGTACTTGATGATGGCGATGTGACGTATATGCACGTGTCCTCAGAAGCCTTATTTAACACTGTGTTGTTTGGTCAGGCTGAGTGGTCTCCTTTGTCATTTCCTGAACTGGTAACTCTCATTTATAAGGCTATTCTTGATTTGTTCACATCTTACTCACTGACTTACATTCACCAAAAAGTTGAATTTAATTCAATTTCATTTATATAGTGTCAAATCAAATCACAACAACAGTTGCTTCAAGGTGCTTTACACAGTAAGGTAAAGACCCTATAATGATAAAAAAATAAAATAAAATAGAGAAATCCCCAACAATCATATGATCCCCTATGAGCAAGCGCTTTGGCGACAGTGGGAAGGAAAAACTCCCTTTTAACAGGAAGAAACTTCCAGCAGAACCAGGCTCATGGAGGGGCGGGGCCATCTGCTGCGGCCGGTTGGGGATGAGGCAAGGAAGACGGGACAAGAGACACGCGGTGTTAAAGAACCAAAGATTAATAATGTGAGAAGTTATTGGTTATTCCTTTAGTTTGCCCCAAAGGTTTGTACTGAATTTGGAAAAAGAGCAATCAAATTTTCAGCTTCTTTCTCCTTGAATCAGCTGCAGAATCAACTAAAACTTAAGGAACCGGTCTCAATAAATGAATTTAAGGCAATTTCAAGTGAGTTCAATGCAATTACTTTAGCCTGCAAATGTTTTTGCTGGAATATTATTACCTAGAAAATTACTTTTATTGACACCCGATGTTTATATATTTTGGTTGTTTCTGCATTTATTTATTTATTTACAGCTGATTGCAAAGAGAAACTGTGACCATAATCTTCTCTTGTCCAAAGTACGTGTTCAGTATAAGTTCATGTAATTATCTGTCAAGATGAAAAATGAAGCTGCCTTCATGATAGGAAAATCTCTAAGTTCAACACACTTAGCTTACCCATTACTCTCACGTCATGTTAAAACCATGTGGACTTCTGATGGTTCTGCCTCTTGTGGACGCTCTCTATATAATCATGTTCATGACTTCTTGCTGGTAACCCTAATTAGTTTTGAGATTTTCCATCAGTTGATTCATTTTTAATATTACGCGACTTTTCATTCTTTTGTTGCTTGCATCAAACTTCAGAATGAACATTGAAAAAAGAACTATACTATTTCTTAGTGTCTGACTTTATTATGTTGTCATGGGACTATTTAAAATAAATACAGGGTTTAAATGAGTTTTAAAAAAGATGCATTTTCTTTTCTTTGCTTGTACCTGGTTGGCTGCCCTTTTGCTTTGAACAGCCTTTAATCTTTACGGCATAGATTAATCGAGGTACTGGAAACATTCCTCAGAGATTTTGAACCATATTTATATGAGAGCATCACACAGTTGCTGCACAGTTGCTGCACATCAACAATGCCAATCTTGCCACCCCAAAGTTGCTCTATTTGATTGATATTAGGAGACTGTGGAAGGCCATTCGAGTACAGTGAATTCACTGTCATGCTCGTGAAACCAGTTTGAGGTGATTTGAACTTTGTGTAATGGTGTGTTATCCTGCTGAAAGTAGGCATCTAAGTACAGATGGGACTAAGGGGTCCAAACCATGCCAAGGAAATATCCCACACACATTACACCATTGTTTATGCCAAATTCTTACCCTACAGTCCCGATGTCATATCAGAATTTATGAATCTGAGGCCAGACAATGTTTATTCCAATACACTGTAGTCCAGTTTTGGTGAAGTTCAGTTTCCTGTTCTTAGCTGACAGGAGTGGCATCTGGTGTGGTCTTCTTCTACTATAAGCTCATCTGCTTCAAGGTCTAAAGTAATGTTTGTTCAGAGAAGTAGTTGAACAGTCAAACCTAATAAAATGAATGTTTATTTGTACATTTCACAGAGAATTCCGACCTTTTTGAAAACCGGGCTGCACAACAGGCTCAAACCTCAGCTCCTGTTCTTACATGTTACCATTATTTATAGAGCCAGTTCACGCTAAATACAAAATAAATATGTCAAGTTCAAGCATATATTTTCTCTCATGTTGTAGTATTAAGTGATTATCGTCATTAGGAAACACTGAGCTGTAGGGGAAGATCCAGCTGTCACGTTAAAATAGGACTCGTGCATTTATGTTCCCTGTGCTTTTAGAAGATGACAACATAATTGCAAAACAAACTATCACAAATACACTGTAAACATTTCAGACCTGGTGTGCTGCTGAAGGTGGGAGAGCTGGCGAAAACATTTCTCACAGTAGGTACAGCGATAAGGTTTGACGCCCAGGTGTATGCGCAGGTGCTGGGCTAGGTAGGACGCGTTCGCAAAGGACTTGGTGCAGTGAGGGCACTTGTGAGCCTTCGCCTCTGTGTGTGTTTTGGAGTGAATCTGCATGTCTGACTTAGAGAAGAAGGTCAGCGGACAAACTTTACACCTGCGTCAAAAACAGAAACAGAGATGCACTTGTGAATATTCTTCCAACCCCCATTATTCCAAAAAACAGCAGAAGTGTCGTCAAACCACTTTGCATGTTAACGCCGTTTGTTAAAGCTATGAGGAAGCTCTTTCTTGCATTATTATTGAACTGAAATGAGCTGCTGTAAATGCAGGTCTTTTGCTACCTGTAGGTTTTTCCCTCTTTGGCAGCAATGGTGATGCACGACTGGTCGTTGCCTGAGGCTAGAAATGGGTAGGGCACCACCAAAAGAGATGACCCGTTCTCTGCCTTTATCTTCTTGCGTCCTCGTTCCTGCTTTGGAGGAGGACCGAGGAGTCCCACGAGTCCACCGCTGTTTTTCCCAGGCTCCATGCCGTGGCCGGCCAACCCTGAGATGAGGTGAGGGGAGGGAGCTCCACCCAGCCGGCTGTGGCTGCTTGAGGTGGGCGTGGTGGGGGTGATGATCTCCGAGGTGTTTAGGTTGCCTGTTCTGGATGCCAGCGCCACACCTAACAGATGGAAGACAAAGACATGATTGCAAAGCATTTACCTTTCAGCTGGCATAAATCCAGAGAGGATCAAATAGATATTCACAGATATTTCATATTTCCTGGGGTCTCCAAATGTTTCATTTTAATTTAACGGTGAAGATAGCATCTGTCTAGTGATTCATTAGCTTGTAGAACAACCTTTAACACCAATAACTTGAATTAACCGTTTTCTCTTTGACACCACTCTTCTTTACAGTGCGTCTTCGGTTCGCTGAGGTGAGATTAAGGTACTGCCACAAAAACTTTGTAACACTGTGATTTTTTTCTTTCTCAGCCTTTCTGTTGTAGATGTTGCTGCTCTGCTCGTGATCTATCTTGTCCCGTTGCATGACTCTGGAATAGTTTGATATACAGAGGAGCTCATAGTTGACTTTAGGACCTCAAGGTGCCTCTTGCTGAAAAACAAGCCCAAATCATTTCCCCTCCACCACCATGCTTGACAGTTGCTATGAGGGGAGTGTGTTTAAATGCTGTGCCTTATGGTCAAACATCCCCACTTTGTTTCAGGACTGATTTGTTCAGATGCAACTTTTCAAACCTAAGGTGTGCTGCCATGTTGTTTTCAGAGAATAGAGGATTTCTTCCAACAATCCTTCAAGCTAGTTCATTTTCTCTGAGCATTGCACAGTCTGACCTCGGAGTGAATTTGCTGGGACATCCACTCCTGGCAGGAATGTGGCCTTGTGTTCACACACACATACCTGAATGCTTCAGACCGGCAAACCAACAAAACTTTTATAGAGCTGCTCTCACTTGCTGATCGTCAATTATTCACATATATTTGATTAGCAGCACCTGGTTTCTACTTACCCTTTAACTTCACATGGAAGCAGTAAAAGTGTACTAGTGTTTCCACTTTTTCACAGGACTGCACACACAAGTATTATTTGCCTGGCAATAGGACTGGCATGACTTCATTAAGCCGTGACACAGTTTAGGCACCTGGACACAATAATGCATGCCACAGAAAACCTATAAATTTGCATGTACAGTCAAATGGAAATAACTTGATGCTGCATCTGAGTTGAGTTGATCCATTTTACAATGATGAAATACCCCAGTCTGCAGGTGCTTAAGAGCACAGGTAGAGTTTAAACTGCAGTTCCTTAGTTTAGGTTACCATGTGGCTTTGCGCACATTGTCTACATCCATCCATCCATTTAAATTCTCTCATCTTAAAATACAATGTATTCATTATAAAGCTGTGAAATCTTAGTGTTTAAAGTTAGCTCTGTAAATATGGTAAAAGGTAAATGGCTGTTATCCAACACTTTGCTACTCAACTTAAGCACTTAAAGCACTTTATAAAATATGCCTCATTGACACCCATTCATTCAATCACCTTTTCTGCACCTAAATGCTTTCTAGCTAACATTTATACGCATTGATACACCAAGATGAATACATCTTGGAGATCTGTATCTCACCAAGGATACTTTAGCATGGAGACTGGACCAGCCAGCCACCAACCTTTCGATTAGGTTGACCTGCTCTACCTCCTGAGCTACAGCCACACCCACAAATATGTTTGTAATTCTAAATAATCAATAAAATCTGCAGAAATCTGCATGGTTACCTGAGACGTGGTTTGTTCTGGAAGGATGATCTATGAGTTGACGCAGATGCCAGTCTTCCCATAATCCTCTGGCTTTTATAGCTGCCTTGTCATCTAGATTCAAGTTTACATCTCCAAGAATACGGCCTGAAAGACAACCACACACACACAGCCTGTGTAATTACAAACTAAATGCAATGAAATGACATTACAGTAAAATTATTAAATAAATGTCACCAAATTTGAAGAATACACACACATATATGTGCGCCCTTACATAACTGTAACTTCCTGATATGTGGACATGTGAATAGACTTTTCATTACTAATTATATTAGCCTTTAATGAGGCAAATGACTCTTTGCAGGAGACTAAGAAAACTGGTGTGCACTTAGCGCTGGAGTACCTGTGACTGAGCTGGAGGCAGGGCGGGCGTGCAGGGCGATATCAGGCTGAGATGGGCTGTGGTTGTGAAGAACAGGCATCTGCTGGGCTTTGGATATCCCATGCTGGCCGCCTTCGGGCTGGCTGGAGGTAGCCAATAGGGGCTGCTGGGAAGGGGCTGAAGCAGGGGGCAGATGATGCGGTCTGATCTTCTCTGCCATCAGCTGCTCCTTGATTTTATTGATCAATACTAGGTTATCCAGCTGACAGCCAGAAAACAACATTTGTGACAAGAAAACAGCCATCAGTTCAGTCAGTCAGTTCATAAGGAAATGGTTCCCTCTTGTGGCTAACACCTGATATTACATGCGTTTCCAGCCATTTCCCTTTGGAGGCGCTTTTTTTTTTAAAATGATTTTTAAAACCAGAAATAAGCCCAAATAGGTAGAAGCTACTGAATAATACAGAAAAAAATTAAAAATAAAACGTGACTTCCTCTGAGTGATCTTCAACAATCCTTGGTGTCAAGGTTTGTATGACTGTTATTTAAACATTTCTCTATATTCATTTTATTGACAGTATTCAGATGGGAAGATTTATGCTAACTGTGTTGCCAAAACTAATCGGCAGTTAGCACAACTTAGCTTAAAGAATGGAAATTTAAAAAAATAAAAAACTAGCCTAGCTCTCTCCAAATTAAAAAAGCTTTTCCCTAACACGCCACAACTGTTTAACTGCAATAAATAAAAAACCATGAAAATAAATCAGAATGTAGTTTTACCCGAAGTTATGTGTATATCTTAGCAACACAATGCTAAGCTATAAAATATTTCAGCGCTATCCACCTCCAAAATCACAGCTTTTTAAATATTAAATATTGTTTTTTTCCCCCCAGGTTAATCAAATTACATATCACCATTTAAGGATTTAGTTGTGCTCATGTTTTTATTTAAATCACTGTACATACACTAGTTATGTGCTTTTTTAAAAAAAAAAAAAATAAATCATGCTAGGCTAAGCTAAATAGTTTCTGGTTGTAGCTCTATATTTAACAAACAAATATTAAAATTTAATTATGTCAGAAAAACTAATAAATGTTTCCAAGTGCAGTAAGGTTCAAACATCTTAAGCTGCCCCTCATTTCTGTATGTTTTGCTAGGAAAATAGATATAGGCATGTGATTTACTAAAACGTGCTAGCATAAAGGTAAAAACATATACTTTTTTTTAAAGTGTACATTTCTAACAAGCTTAAAGGCAAATATTTTCCAAGGCAGTGTTTAATTTTCAAGGTTGCCATTCACAACCTGAACTGTTAGGCAAGCTTTCTTTCTTTAAGTAGTCTTCAGGAATAGTTCTCCAGACTTCTTCAAGACATTCAAAGCTCTTCTTTGTGTGTTGGCTGCCTTTTTTTTCTTGTCTCTATTGTGATGATTTCACACTGCTTCAATATTGTTGTGGTATGGGCTCTGGGGAGACCAATCCAATCTATGACTGATAGAGTTGCACTGAGTTTTTCTATCCAGGTATTCTTTTAATGCATTGGCAGTGTGTTTGGGATCATTGTCAGGCTTTGAAATGCTTTCCAGTTGGTATTGCATGGTGGTTCAGCCATCTGCGTTCATAATTCATCAATTTTGACAAGATCTGCAACAGTACTGGCTTAAATGTAGCACCAAAGTACGAAAGATGCTCCACTGTGTTTTACGCATGACTGTAAACACTCACCTCTCCACCATTATCATGATCTCTGCCATATATATATATATATATATATATATATATACCTCAGTTTTTTTCTCCCTGGTTCCCTCCTTAAGAATGACTTCTCATCAGCCACCCTTCCATTGACATCAGTTATGATGAAGCTTAAGTAAATAGCTCTTCAAGTAGAGAGCCAGTTGCATCTCTCAGGTCCTTTGTCAGGTTTTTACTGGATTTTTTCCTATTTTTTTAAGGCCACGACATTCAGATACTGTTCATCTGATCCATATGAACAGAGGACCTGCTACTTACAAATTATGAAGAAATGAAATATTGAATGCTCTATTTGTCTAGATCGTTTAAAAATATATATTTTTAAAACAAAAGCAAAAAATATTCTAAAAGTTACAGTCACGTAGAGTGTAGTGTTAAGATGTTTAGAAACAAGGGTGAATACCACAGTCACTCACCTGACCAGGCATGGCAGGAGGGGGAGGCCAAAAATAGGGGTTGTTAAAGCGGGGTTCAGCCATCCTGAAATAAATACATAGGGGTTATAAAAAAAGGTGAAGGGTGCTCTAAATGCTCAGGACTGAGGAAACATCTGTAGTCAGACTTACAAGACAGGGATATCCACATTTACGTGTGATACCTTATCCCTGGTTCCACAGGTGAGTGATTGTTTTTAAGTTTTAAATAACAATGCAGGAAGTTATTTTGAGCACCCCTCACTGATTACCAGTTTGCGGCTCCTCAGATTGATCTTGTTTGAACCCACTGTTGTGAGAATCCTGGTAAAACAATGTCCTATATATATTTATGTGTGGATCTGTTGTTCATGTAGCACACAGCGGTTAAAACATGTGTCAGTAGCTCTCCACCCATGCAGCAGCTGACTGTTAGATGTGATAATTTGAGATAATCTTTTCCAGTCTTGTGACAGCATTTTCAAAGAAACCCTGTATGAGTCCTCCTGCTTCCCGAAAAGTGTGTGAGAAAATGCTGTTTTCTCACACTTCATCTTCATCACTGATAGCAGGGAGGATGCTTCCAAGTTGCATTCGGTGAGTTTTTTTTT